TTCATTTCAGGAGAATAAGTTTTTTATTTGTGTTGCCCCACCGGAAATGGCCATACATGCATGCATGCACGTACAAACGCACACACGCATGTGGGCACCGGTTGGTACAGCGTTGCATCCCACAGCAGGGTAATCACTTCCCATTCACTACTATCTCCTGGCTAGAAACCAGCCAACAAACAAACTACCAGTGCCAGGCTTGACTGACACTGGAACTAGGCATTCTTAGTATGGCCAAGCCCTTCAATTCCAGCAAATACCATAACTGTGATATGTACTTGCTTACAATGTAGCACTATTACAGTCTAGCATTATGTACTTACCAACAATGTAGTCAAATGTGGTGCCTGCAATTTCACTCTTCTGGATCAATGACCACCAAGTGAAGTCAATAGCAATGCTTATATAGAAAAGCATGGCCAAAAATACATGGGATACATCTCTAAAAGTGAAAAATGCCATTCTTGACCACACACACTTGTGCTGTAATTATTTCAAGTACTTGGATTACACAATATAGGTTTTTATCAAATACCACAGTTATCCTGAAAAGAGAACACCACAAAGTCACATGTCAGTAACACAGGGCTGGTCAAGTAACACACAATGATCTCTACAAGCTCCAAAAATTTGTAGGGACCCACCAAGTAAAAATGAAGAGGGCATAGTCAGAAAATTTCAGCTGCACCTGCCCTAAGGCTATATAAGCACATGTCCTAACAACTTGAATTGTGAATAATTAATTTGAGAGTTAATAAGTAAACAAATCAAGTAAATATAAACAACATATCCCACAGCACTAATTTCATACTACTTCACCTTATATTATTCTTCCTTATTCACTGCCTTGATTTGTGCAGTAGGTTATGCTCCTATCAATGGCATTGTCTATTCTATGATCCTACCTACTAATCCTGTTGTAACAAATTATGTGTCCCTCAACCAATAAACTACTTTTCATTATTACTGAGCTACTCATTTATTCTAAATATCTGGTATTTCTCCCTTCTCTGATCTTTGAAATAAGGAACTCATCTGTACCTGCAATTTTTCCTTTATCATGATGCATGCAATTACTTGATATCTTGTATTATAATTTTTATATTTATTTCAGGAAATCATGTTTTTTCAAAGCAACTGTGCCTTAAAAAGAGGAAGGTAGCTCACTTTGATAAAAGTGCAGTGAGCGAAGCATTTCTCTGAACTCAAGAGCTGGGATCCAAAAGCTTCCACAAGTTCCAAGGTTTTTATCCTCCTACCATCTTCCACTGGTTTCACTTAACAGGCAAACCAGCCTCAACCAGCCTCATACCAGATAGGTCAACAACCAAAGCCCTAGTGCTGTCACCAGTGATCACTGTGGTGGCTACAAAGCAGTTATATTTTACTGCTCACATTGCACAGTGTTTGATACATTATTTGTGGGTTCAATTAATTTTGTGAAGTGAAAATCTAGCACAAAATGTTAGATGATAAATTCACTGCAGCTTGGATCCTTTTTGCCCAGAGCAGTAAGGGGTAACTGGCATGTGGTAGATACTAATTAGGACATCAGAAAAATCTTAAAGACTGCTCCCCTAGTCATTTGACCACTAATGACTTGGGGAAGTTGGCCCATGCCTTCAGTAGGGCCCCAGCCCAAAAACATTGTGCTGAGCATATAGTTTCAGCAATCAATGGTAGTGGATTAATTTTGAAAGATTGGCAGCAGGGATGAAACTCGCTTCATCAGATTAGACCTGTCCCAAACATGTCTTTGACTGGAATGACAACTCTTGCAGATTAGGAAAAAGCATCTGCTGCTGCACCTGGTTATCTTGGTTACTTTACAAAACACCAAAAGTGCAACCCTATTAACAATGCACACCCACAGTCTACCTCACTATGACACCATTCTATGAACTACCACACCATTCTAGGAACTAAGCTCAGGTGATGGTGCATGCAGCACCAATTTGTGCAAAATCATGATGACACACCTGATCGAATCAACAAAACCTGCAGGACCTGGAGGACCCACTCAACACAACACTATTACTACGGTCGCTACCCATCTTATGACATTTCTGTCAAACCTGACTGTTGGCAACGAGATGCAAGCCAGCTGAAACAATATATGTATACCACTATAAACACGGAGCACCCATTACCAGCTTCCACCCTCCCGCTTCACCACTGCCGCCAGCACCTCCCCAGCGCTCTCCTCAGCTGCAGAATGAGATGCGGCGCAACCTCAGTACACTAGACTCTTCACACACAATTGTCACATTTGCGCCATTTAGCATTGCAAGCAATAGTGGTGAGATCGACGCACACCACTATAATAGATATAGATATAGGTACGATATCTGCCACCACCAAGAGCAACGTATTACATGCATGTGTGCGATGTTACGTATATTATGCTAAAGATAAGGGCAAAAACGACAGGTGAAAATCCCCCCCCCCGGTGAATCTCCCCCTATGTTCGAAAAGCGGGACGTCAGTGGCCAGGGACTTCAATGCGCCGTGGACAGCTAGCCACGGAACGCATTGCTGCCGCAATGGATGCAAACCAACCAGGATGCAAAAATGCATGTTATTCCGAACGTGTCTGGGGTAGGAGCGACAACGCGGCACAAATGTCTGCGCGTGTACGCCGTGAGTCCGAGCGTTCGGAGTTTGGCACACGCTAATGCAGTTCATTACATCCGCTAACGTGAAACTACCACCAGAAATTTGAACTTTGGCTCATGCCGAATCTATACTCGGGTTGGTAAGGTCCAGGGGTAAAACTTTGCATTTCCTTGGGGGGGGGGGGGAGGCGGGCATGGCCCCTCAAATGTTGAGCTGAGCCCCGTAATTATGGGCTGGACTCCCACAATGTTGAGCAGAACTTGCACAATGTGGAACCTGGAGCTCAATCCTTATCATTTCTTTGAAAAAGAAATGATTTGAAGTTTGGCAAACTGGTCCCTAAAAAAATACAAAATTGAATTGCTGAGATATTGCTTCAAACGCTTTGAATAATGTTTTGGTGGAATGAAGCGTTAACACCGCATTTCATTTCAGAAGCTGTGGATGAATGTAAAATTTGAGCGTGTCCTTGCAACCAGGCTCGTGCAGTGCAGGTCATTGGTCAGTGGCGGATCTAGCCTGGAGTTTTGGGGGCCATGGCCCCGTGCCCCCCCCCCCCCCCCCCAGGATCCGCCTATGCCATTGGTCGAGCCATGGATGCCCCACAGCCACAGCGGAAGCCACAAATGACGCTCTAAGATACCGGCGCCGACGCTGGGCCTGTCTGAGACACGTTCTATTTGGCCTTGATAAACTTTCCCACAGCTTGGGAGAGGAGACGTGTCTGTCCACAGCATGCACATTGAATGGCTGCTCCTACGCAGAGAGCTTCCCACCGTTCCCACAGCAGCTCCCGCAGCGGACTTTGAGGACTTTTCGTCGAGGATTTCCCACCCGGCGCTGAAATTGTGCACTAAGCGCTGATCTGCCCGCGAAGCTGATGAACGGTGCAACGCCCCAGCCAACTCAATACATGCTGGGCGCCTGAAATTCCGAGCCGATTACCGACCGACCTTGTCATTGATGACTCCTGAATCTGCAGCTGCTTCTGTAAACATTTTCACCCGCGGCGACGCGGCGCTCGCGTATCCGTTCCGCGGTCGACGTGGTGCCGGCGCTTGGAACGGAAGATGGGCGCCGTTTCTGTGCATGGCGCGGGCCTCGGCTGCACACGGCACCAAGGTTCAGCTGATTCGGAGAACTCTCGCTAGGTGGCGGTTGGCTGTCGGTCGCGCTGGTGCGGGAGGCCAAGATCGGTCCCTGAACGATGAGAAACTCCGAATCGGTTGTTCCAGGTACTATAGCTGGGTGATGCGCATGCGCAGTGGAAAAACTTGTTTCATTCCGGCGCAAGGCCAAAGTGAGTCGTGGAGCTCGGCTATGCGGGGTGCTCCGCGCCACGACCAATCTGACGTAGGTTCTTGGGGACAGCCAGAGGGCGTGACTCAGCGGCCTCTACGGGGGGGGGGGGGTGATCATTCATATGTTTATAAGTGTTTGGGCACATAGACCTGAGTGGTGTAAAATATGAGACCGGTGTTGGTTCATCGGCCGAGACGAGTTTTAAGGGGTATGAATGATCGGAGAATTTATTATGTATTTATTATTAATTTTTTTTATTTATTATTTATTTATTGTTAATTTATTATTATTTATTTATTAATTTATTAGATCGGAGATAGTATTTTCCAAAACTCTTCCGTGCCCGCTCACCCGTACCGTCGTGACCTTTCACATCGTTTCAGCGTTCTTCTTCCCGCCATCCATCCAAGTGGCGAGACAGGAGGATACCTGCATCCAGCCAAAGATGTCGGACTCGCTCGCGTTGTGATAGGCTAGTCAGAGTCGCGGCCCTGTTCGTGGTCGGACCTCGCCTGCCGACATGCAGTATGCACCGGCCGATGTACGCCGCGGGACGCTGCCCAGCGACCTCTGAAGCCCCGCGCATGCGCCCCGGCGTCCCAGCGCAGACCACGATGACAATGCAAGATCTCGTGCACAGACCAACGAGACCGCAGAGGCGCCTAAGACAGTTGACGGCGATTAATGCGGGTTCCTAATGACATTACGAAATCGTGTAAAGTTAGTCGGCACCTACAAAACCAGCGGCCGCGCGAAGAGCAAGAAAGGGAAGTAGTTGGTACACCGCTTGGCAGGAGGAGCAAGCGCGAGTAGAACTGCACTGCGGTCCACTGATGTGGTCATTTGGTGCAATCTGGTAGTTCATGATGGCTGGCACGGCGCCCCGGTTAACAACGCAAGAACTTTTCATTTCCAACGCCCGTATTAAGCTGTGGCTCAAGAAACTAGACGCTTTCACTCCCGAGATTTCGGCCGAGTGCTGAACCAGACCAGCGCGCAGATTGTGCATACCAAGAGCATCCACGAAATTGGCAGCATGGGCAAATTCTCTGTAGGGGTAAAGTGCGAAATGTGGTTTGTATTCTTCAAAATCCGAAACTTATTTTCCAAAACTGAGCGCCTAACAATATAGTGAAAGCTGGCAGGCTACAAGCTTGCAATCAACGTTCTTGCATCCTTTACGGCCTTCATGTTCGTTCCTAGGTCTGCTGATGGCCTGATTTGTACTGAGAAAGCGACACGAATCAGCCCAGACAAAAAATAATTAGCAACAGAGCCGGAAGCTCCGCAGTCACCAAAGCTGACACTCCCTACGTATAGCGGGCGCCACACGGCTTTCCCACTTGCAGCAAACACGGCATTCAGCACGACGCATCGTCTCATAACACGACATCAGGATCGTACAGACTCCCACACAGTTCAGAGGTCGGGTCATTCGGCGGTTCAGTGTTCTGGTGAGCACACGCAGGCAAGTATGCCGACTGATACATATAGCAATAGCGAAATGTCGACCAACGCGAGGAGTGAAGGAGGTAGCACGGGCGGACCCAGCGCCATTTCTGCACAGGGGTGTCAACTCCTACACTTCCGGGTGAGCGTGGGCGTGCCTCCGCAGGCTGTTCTTATGTATGAAAGGCATGTCACATACGTCACAGCTGAAGCGCCTCTCGCCGGCGTGTATTCGTTTGTGGATGTTCAGATAAGACTTAGTCTTGAATGATTTTTCACAGGCTCCGCAACTGAACGGCCTCTCGCTGGAATGCATGCGGAAGTGCGCATCTAGAATCCTCCGCCCTTTAAACGAGGCCCCACACACACCACAATAAAACGGCCTCTCTTCGCTGTGAGTACCAACGTGCTCAGCAAGAGCCGACTTCCTGGAAAACGATCTCCCGCAAACACCACATGTGAACAACCTCTCGCCAGTGTGCGTGCGACTGTGTGCACCCAGATACGCCTTCAGCGCGAACGACCTTCCGCAAATACCGCATCCGAACATCTTGCCACTGTGTCTGTGACTGTGCGCGGTCCAGCCACCGCCGTGCTTGAACCCTTCTCACACACAGCGCAGCTGTGCGGCTTCTCATTCGTATGTGTCCGCATGTGGTGCGCGACGCTGACTTTCTGCGTGAACGACCTCCCGCACCCGCCGCAGCTGTACGGCTTGACGCCGGTGTGGATCAGAGAGTGGGTCTCCATGGCATTCTTCGAACTGAACGACGTGCCGCATAAGTGGCAGAGGAATGACTTCTCATCGGCATGGGTCCATTTGTGCCTGCGTAGACTACTCCTCCAGTGAAAGGGCTTGTCACAGACGTCACAAGTGAACGGCTTGTCATCGGAGTGCACGCGGCCGTGCGTCAGCAACAGTGACGCCGTCTTGAATGTCTTCCCGCAAATGTCACAGGTGACAGGACTGTCGGTTAGCTGACTCTGCCCGGGCAAGGCGGAGATCTCCTCCCGGCTGGCCGAACTATCGGACACAACAGAGCCCGTCTGGCGCTCCTCGGTATTCACTGGAGCCGCACCTTTAGATCCGGAAATCACACAGCCCCACTTGTAATAACCGCCAGGCATACACCAGGGGATCCTGAAAGCGCAGGCCCATTTACAATTACCGCCAGGTATGCACCAGGGAATCCTGAAAGCACATAGTCCCACTTAGAAAACACACAGTCCCACTAATTACCGCCAGGCGTACACCAAGAAACCCTGAAAACACACACGACCACTTGTAATTACCGCTAGGTACACGCCAGCAGAAGTTTAGGCACTCATCGTCATCATTATCATCATATCACTGTCATCACCACAGGCACTTATCGTCAGGAGAATGATAGAGATGTATGCTGCATCGGGAGCAAAGAAGCACAAGAATGACGTTGCGAGGTACAATACGCACCGAATTACTCGGAACATGTGAAATGGAATGCAGCTCAACAAAAACATCGTACATGGCAGGGGCCCTACTCTTCCCAGACCACGTGAACGCCCCACAACTTTACAGGAGAAGGTTTCGGGAGGGCCCCTTCTGGTTCACCCAAAACACGGATCAGAGGGGCCCCAGCCAGCTTCTCTGATGCCTCGCAGAAGAGGCGGTGGCCCCCTCGCCGCGCCACTGAGCGTCCAGCCTCGCACCCATCGTCGCTGAGCACGGCTGTATTGACAGGCTGGACCAAATGACCTTCCATTTGACGAAAGGTCCGTAGGCCGGAACAATGGCCGGTCATGTAACTTTCGGCTATTTTGAATAGAGCATCATTCCAGTTATATGTTACCACGATTTCTGTTACGCCTCCCCCCCCCCCCCCACATTCCTAAGCGAGGTATAGTCATAACGTTGGACTTGCCTGGACTGGACTTGAAACAGCTACAACCTACCTGGTTTTGCTAGTAACCAACGCTTATGTCCGGCATTCTTGTCCAATTTTGCACACAAAAAAATTCAAACAGCCGATGCTCGAACATCGTGAAGTCATAGCTCACAGACGGAAGTGTTGCGGTTCTACGAGAGCTAAAAATCACCCCATAGGCAACGGACAACCTCTGTGCGCCAGTTAAGCGGAGCTTTGCTACAAAGGGCAGGACCGTAGGTTGTCACCTCACCTGCGTGGGTTCGTCGGTGCCGTTTCAGAGAGACCTGCGTCCTGAAACCACTTCCACACACGTCACAGACGAGAGGCTTCTGAACAGCATGGGCCCGGGCATGCCTCATCATGCCGTTCTTGTGAGTGAACGACTTGCCGCACGCGTCACATCTGAACAGCTTCTCGCCCGTGTGCACGTGATTATGCACCAACAAATATGACTTCGTCTTGAAAGACTTCCCACAGACATCACAGCCGAACAACCTGATGGCCAACTGGACCTGCCTCGGCAAAGCCGCGATCGCCTTCTGGCTGACCGAGCTACCGGGCAGGTCAGAGCTGGTGTGGTTCTCTTCCTTGGCCACGGGAGCCGAACCATTACGTCCTGAAAGCAGCCGGTCGACTTACCACTACAGCCAGATGCGCACAGCCACACATCCATCATGATACGAGGTATTAAGCGGAAGAAGCTGATGGACAAGGAACAGCAAATAAACAACGGCGTTGATGATGAAAAACACGACAGCCATGTAAACAGGAGTGTGACATGAGTGGACGTGAGCCGCAAAGTTTAAGGCAAAGGGAATGCAACAAACAAATGTGTCTTTCACCTTCAGTAACATCATGGAAAATGAGCCCAACGGCAAGCAAACAGTTCCTATTTGTGAGAAAAAAAAACCATTACGTGCGTCTGCATACGAACACTTTCGCACACTTACGCACACCAAAGTCACTTGCCGACCATTAAAACGCGCTCGACGAATCCTCTTCACAGTCCAGTCACTCAATCACCAAAAACCATTAAAACGACCAATCCTTTCCACAAAAAAAATAAATTGATACGCTGGCACGTGTGACATTCCACAACATTGGACCTGATAAGGCCTATGCATCACTGCCCAATTGCATGAGTAAGTGTAATCCCCCCCCCCCCCCCCGGAACGGTTTGACTGCGCTAAAACTGCACTTTAACCACAAGCATAACGTACAGCCGGACCATCACAGTAGATACCTGGAGCTCTCAACGCGCCACTGGCGCTCAAGACTCGTCACACGCGCGAAGGTCCAGATCGCTCCCACTCGGCACGGGAAGCACCAAGCCATCGACGCTATCATCGTACACCCGTTCACCAGAGCGACTCAACAAATCATAGCGGAGCGGGAAACCGAGACACCCGAACGAGTGTGAAAAGCCAGATCCTACCCGCAGCAAAATCTCGTTACAATTACCACAGCTGCAGAGGCTTCAACTGTGGCTGCTAGCAAGACGAACCCGTCCTACCTGTGTGCGTGCGGCCGTGTCTTTCCAGACCCGCTTCAGTGTCGAAGTCACTTCCACAAGCCCCACAGGTGAAGCGCTGTCCAACGTTGTGGATGGCTGTGTGCAGTTTCAGCAGCCACCGCTCCACGAACGACTTGCCGCAAACCCCACAGGTGAACTGCCTTCCATCAGAATGCATGAGCATGTGGGCTAAGAAGTGTTCCTTGGTCTTCAAACATTCCCCGCAAATGTCACAGATGCACAGCTTGGGATCCAAACAGATTTTGTCAGATGACACCCCTCTCTGACTGGATGAATCATATGGGTCCTTACAAATGGTTGAATCCTCTTCAGTCCTTGGACGGTAGAGACAACTGACTTCTGGAATGGGACAATGACGCTCACTATCATGACATGTTAACCTGAAGAAATGTGTTGACCAGCCATTCCATCATTTATACCGCATTGACTTATGCTCCTTCAACTTATTCTGATATGGCTTGTGCGGTTCAATAGAAATGAAGACCGAAATATGAATACCAAAATGGCTTCATAACCCTGCATAACTGTGAGGACCGGTGAAACATGAAAATACATGTCCACACATGATTATGTACGGATATGTATGGACATATAACCAATAAAATGGAAGTGTCTAATACACATCTGTATCTGTTTGTAATGGTCTACTAGCAAGTGGTGACAAGGCAGCACTGGTGCAGGCACAGTTCAAAAAGTTAGTGTACCCTGTGCCTTCTGGGACTACACTGCCCTGTACTGCCTGCCAGCGAGGCAAACTTGTCTGAGCTCTGCTCTTGGGTAAACAAGTTCATCCATGAAAGGTTAAAAAAGCTGCAAAACCACCAGCAAGCCAACCAGATAGTAGTGCTTACTACCACTATTGTCACACCTGATAAAAGGAGCATCCTAAATGAAAATGGTGAGAAGGAAAATGGTATAGGAACACACATACCAGGCTTGACAGACAAAGCACTGTCTGCTGGCATTGTGCCTGCTTCCACGTCAGGCTTGATCTCAGGTGGATCATCTGCAAGTGAGGCAGTTTTCTGTGTCAGCAGCCAGGAGAGCCTAAAACATGACCATTTGGTGAGGCAGCTAAAACAGCACTGCAGAGCAAACACAATGAATTGAGCAGAGTTCTCATTTTATTTGCCGCCCTAAGGGTCAAGCTTATTATCTGCACATAGCAAGCTACCAGGACAGAACAGCATGACCAGACCACAAGACAAACAAGTGGTTTGCAGAAATGCTTGCCTGGAAGTATGAAGACATCCATGATGCTCTAGGCCTCAGATGTACCACTACCTATCTTTCATCATGGCACAGATGACACCATGTCTGAAAATAGAATAAATGCACATTTCACGGCACAGACCATATAGCAGCCAGAAGTATAGACATCACAATGAGAGACACCTTTGCAAGTTACCTCTCAATCTTCACAGATGGCTCCCATCTATTGCTGGGATCAGTGCAGGCTTGAGAAGTCCTTTAGGGATGGGGAGGCCACCTGTGTGAAATAGCAGTGGGGCTAAAACTAGGCCCAACTAGTGGAAAACTAGTGGAAAAAATGATGGCACCTGAGGTGGGGTGCATAGGATAGGCTGTGTACCCTCATCATTGCCCCTTAAAGATGATTATTGCCATCAAAATACCCCTGATGTTGGGCTTCAATTACCCAAGAGCATGTCAACCTCGATACTGCCACCTGCTGAGTGTGCTGAGCGGCCCCCAGATTTTTCCTGCTCCCCTTCCAGAGATAAAATGTATCTGTTTATCCCCCCAAAAGAACATTTGAGGAGGGTGCCCCGAAATTGTTATGGAGGTCGCGGGTCTAACCAATACTGGGGTGGAAGGGGCCTGAAATTCTGGACCCCAGAATTATATATATATATATATGTATATATATATATATATATATATATATATATATATATATATATATATATATTGTTGCATCACAAGCTGGCCCGCTTTTCGCATAAGTCATTACTTCATGACTATAACACGACACCTGTAAAATATTTCACCCGTCGCAGTGCCGGCCACTTGCCGCTCTCGGCCATCATTGTGCGCTCGAACGGGAAGGAGCGCGGATGCCGTCTGGCGCAGGCGGGTTTACACTCGACACCATGAAGTGGTTAATTCGCAAACCTGTCGCCAGGCAGCCGTCGCCCGGGCTGTCGGCTACGCCGGCACTGGAGTCGCAGCCGACCGCTAGGTGGCGGGGTCAGCCCTACCAGATATCCTAGGTATTGCAGCCGAGTTATGCGCATGCACGAGGAAGCGAACGTTCCATTCCAGAGCGAGCATGATGTAGGACGTGAGGAACGGTCTCTTGGGGCACTTTGCACCATGGCCTCTCTGGGGTAGCCCCCGGAGAACGGAACAAAGAGGGCTGGACTCTGCAGCCTTTACCAGTTGCGCAGGCAGGGTAGGGGCACAAAGAGCACGTGCCCCCTCCCTGAGGTTCCGAGCGGTCTGAAGAACCCCTCAGGACAACCAATGAAGGGAACGTTCCACATTTGTGTGGGGTTTTGAACTGAAATTGTCATCTTGGAGACCTTTTCTGTTTTTAATCCTGCCTTTCTTAAGGCCTAAGCCCCCTAGCCTCTGAGTTACATGCCCGCGAAAATAGGGAAAGGTTTATCGGGGAGAGTATTTCGAAGTCGTCTTGGCATTCATGATGTCATGATAACGTCATTCAAAGTATATCATTCCATAAGTTATGCGACGATCAAGGCGAACAAAAAATAGTCGTCGACTATTTTTTCTTCGCCCTGAGGGCCTGGCCCGCAGGGCCGGGCACTTGAATGGCATCTCCAGAGGGCCCTGCGTGCTGAGCAGGGGCCCTCTGAGTCGATAAGGGCTCAGTCGACACCGTGTCGGCATGGGGCCCATGTGGCCTTAGGGCCCATTCCCCAAGCAGAGATAACGCAGGAGTCAGCGACTTGCGTTGGTCGGGGCGTCCGTCAGGGCACCACAGCAGCGCACCACAGCGCACCACAGCAGGGCACCACAGCGCCAAACAGGGGGCTCGGTGTTGACAAGGGACGCGAGTCGGTCAGAGGCAGTGGCCGGCATGGGCCTGAGGGCCCACTTCCCAATCAGTTACACAGCCGGGGTCAGCAATGTACACTGGTCAGAGGCCCTGTATCTGTCAGAGGCCCTGTATCTGTCAGAGGCCCTGTATCTGTCAGAGGCCCACGGTGCATTACAGAGGGTCCCGTGTCCGCAAGGGGCCTCGAGCCGACCAAAGGCAGTATTCGAGGAGCCCCGAAGATAGGCCCGGGCGGCCCTGCGGAACCGACGGTCAGGGAGCCAACGATGAAGGGTCCAGATGGAGGGCATAAGGACTGGAATGACTGGCTGTAGCTCACTTAAAGGCCACTTAAAGGTCACTTAAAGGTCACTTAAAGGTCTCTTAAAGGTCAGTTAAGGAATCGCGCCCCGTAGGATCGTAACCTGAAAAATCAGTCACAGGTCCCCTTGCCCCGTTTAAGGACCCGAGACAATGCGGGTGTCTCGGTCGGCCAGGTACCAGGAACACCGAACAGTTGGCTCCCTGCCAGTCTGAACCCTGGGGGCTATTTCCCAAGCTCTGCGAGAATGCAGCACGCCGATGCTTGGCTTTCTGCCGAAGCCGAAGCACCCTAGGGGTGGGGTGGAAGCTGCGTCCCCGGTATCTTGAGTGATTGCTCAAGTGATTGCATATCACTTGAGAAATCACTTATATGTTATTATTGCTCGAGGGATTGCCTATCACTTTTGTGTTCAATGCTGCTTTTGTTCGCTAATTTGTACGTTTTTTAGAGTGCCTGGCGTGAGCTGGACCTACCACACACTCCTGGCATGGTATTCATAACTCACCATACACCAACATACACCACTATACATCCCTGTCATGGTACTCATGAATCATCGTACACCCACATACACCACCATACACCCTTGGTATGGTACTTATGACTCACTATACACCCACATCACCACCATTCACCGCTAGCATTGTATTCATGGCTCACCATACGCCCACGTACACCAGCATACACCCCTTTCACGAAACCTCATGGTTCTCAGGTCCCAAAGCATTAGACGAGGTGAGAACGTGGTTACGCTGGCAACGAAATAAAACGGCTGCAAAACGGAAATTGCAGCCGAAAACACTTAAGGCGTACTTACGTCCCTGGCGGGGCAATGCCTCCCTGAATCGGCGAGGTAACGCCTGCCGAGGGAGCAGGACTCCCGTGGAGACTGCGGTATTTGTTCATTTGTTTATTCACATGGCTCATATGTCTATATATTAACTGTCCTGTCTGGGACGAAGGGCAGAAAGCTTCCGTCCCCGCGATCTCGGGTGGCACATACATACCCCGAAGGCGTTATCGCCTCCTCCCCTACCCACACACGTGTACACACTGGCTGACCGTGTCGCCGGTTGCGTAGGCGGAGACGGGAAATAATGGCGCCCTAAGGCATCGTATTGATGTTAGATGAAAATGGTGCGGCACTTCATTTGTGGTCGCACGTCCATGCTTGTCGACAAAACGAAAATGTTCACCAGTTCCTCGAGGCATTAATAATTGCTGTCGGCCATTGGCCATTTGTTCGGCAATGAGCGCGGACGTTACAGTTTCCGGTGGGACATGTTACTACCATGTTACTACCCCGAGGTAGTAACGGTGGGCCTTTGTACCTTTTCGCCTAGACAACACAGTGGTAATAGCTATATTCCTCAGAGACAAAACAGGAGAATTGAGATATTGTGTATAATCTTACAATTTTTCTCCAAGTCGAAAAGTTTAGTTTCCCGCATCTTGCTGTGCTCAAGAACGATTTTCGGCTGGCTTGTGGCTTCCAAACCCTGATTTGACGCCCGAGATAAATTGTTGCCCCCCATTTTACAGACTTGGCTGTACTCAACTGCCCAAGCGGATCGCAATCTCAGTTGCCACCTTATTCCTCTTCCACTCAGTTACCACCTTATTCCTCCTCCACTCAGTTGCCACCCACCCCTCCGCCGCGACAGCAGCCAATACAGCGCTAAGGTCGAATTTGTGTGACAGGCAAGGAAATCCGTGATAACGAATCGGAGACACAATTTGCCGCATTAAAGCATGATAACGGATGTCGGCTATCCAGTGCCGTAGTTTCGCTAGGTAAGCTGTGTAATGATGACGTCATTATCCAATTTGACGCCCGCGGCCGGGATCCAGACGGAAGGGAATTCCGTGTAAGTGTCACAGCGACCCAAGCGTCAGGCTGCATCTCGGGCGCGCGAGCCGCGACCGGACATCATGACTCAGCGGGCGGCGCGGCGGAGCACGCCTTGTTTGCGTCTGCGGAGTGCGCGATAGCCGCTAGCTGCGGTCCCCGGGGGTGGGCCGGGGGTTACCAGCGCGGGACACCGCCACCCGCCAGTGCTGCGCGTGGGTGCGCGGCGGCTACTGGTCCTTGGATCGCCCGGCGTAGGCAGCGTCGCGCTCCCAGGATGGCCTGGCCGGTGCAGGACTGGGCGGTGGTGGACGGGCTGGTGCGGAGGTGCGGCGAGCACGCGGAGCTAGCTGTTTGGAGTGTGGTGGCTCACTTGGACGTGTTTGATCCGACCGGTGACTACATAATGAAGGCCATCGACGAACAGGCAATGCAGATATGGTCGCTGCCAAAATGGCCAGCGTTGGCCATGCTGCGGAAAAAGCATGTAATTTGTTCATGCTCTTCGTTCGGTAGACTTCGGGTGCTGTCTTTCAAGAAGTCCGGGAGCATAGCGGAAGGGACCAACACCGGCGCACTCCCGAATCTGACTGGTTCAGATGTGGATGATATGTTCGAGTTCGGTCCGGTTCACTGGGCGGCGACTGGCCCTCTGGACGGACCTACTGCGTTGGAATCTACTTCGGTGGACTCTCCGCGGCTCAAAATCGCTCCCACCGAGAACACGGGTTATGTGCAGCTCCTGCAGGAACGGCTGCCTGACTGCCCGCATACGCAGCCGCTGCCGTTCTCCGCCGACAGCGTCCGACAGCTGCTGGGCGACTGGATGACCGTCGCAGCGGAGCGATGTGGAAACCTCGTTATCACGGGACCATCAGTGTCGGAGACCTTTAGCCAAGGACCCATCGCAGGAAGTGATTGGGTTGCATGCGTTCGTGTTCCCTGGTGGCCTGACTACGGTTTCTTGGAGCGATGTCGGGAGAGCAACTGGCCGCCGCCGGCTGTGCGGGAAGACATCTGCAGGTTCGGAGTGCATCTGGTGCCGACGGGATGCAGGGGCAGCGCCACGGAGGACTCGGAGTGGCGCGTGTCGTTTTCGCGGGCGGAGATGGTAGTGATTCTCCACCTGACTGACGTCCAGCGGTACTCACTGATCACACTCAAGATCTGCAAAGCCGTTCTGGGAGTTGCCGGCAAGCCGCTTAAGTCTTACTTCATGAAGGCGGCACTGCTCTGGCTGTGCCAGAACAAGCCCTCCGACCAATGGCGCAGCTGCACAGAGGGAGCCCTCAGCATCCTCGACTATCTGAAGGCCGCTGTCAGCACTTGTCGATTGCCAAATTTCTTCTGGGTGGAGGTGAATCTGTTCCAGACCGTCACACCGCAGGAGAAGAGGGCAATGGAATGGACAATTGAAACCATGAGGGACAACATAGTGGCGCTACTGATGCGCAGGTGCGCCCGCCTTCTCCCCGGCCTGTCGGCGGGCGTGGCTGAAGCTCTCTCCGAACAGGATCTGCGCCTCTGCTTGGCCTACTCATGGGTCAGAAAAGCTGTGGCATTTGCAGTGATGCCTCACGCTGCTCGCCGCGAATCGCTGTCGCACCTCAAGTCAATTCTGCCCCATCTACGAAGCATGGAAGCGATCGAGGTGTCTTGGGTGCACCACCGTATGACTCGCGTCAAGTTCGTGCAGGTGGCGCTGTTCAGGGCGATGTCTCTGGCGCCGGACGACGTGATCAGTTCAATGCGCCTCACGCCCCTCGGTGGTGACATGTTCGCCTGGGACGCGGCGCCGCTGCTGGCACTGCTCACCCCCTCCGACCTGGAGAGGCTGCTGCCGAACCTGGCCGCAGTATTCGCCTGGTG